GGGAATATTCCTCCTTTACAGGGACACGCCCGATTTCAGGTTCGATCATTGGAGACATGTCAAAACTCTCCTCTATTGAACGGGCCGCCAGAATCTGGGTTCTGCTTCCTTCGCCAGGAGACATCCGTTCAAACCAGACTTGTAACTTCATTGAACCAACCTGTCGAATACGTGTAAGTTGTACGACCTAGCCCCTAGTCGAACCAACCTGTCGAACACCTAGTAAGATCATCGGATTCTCTTTTTTCCAGCCCCCCACACTGAGCAGTGACGCGATCGGAGCTCCATCCTATATTATGCCATTGCCAGACTGCTTACACTATGAAGTTCCAACGTTGTGCGCACTTGCTTGGCTGACATTCGTTCCCCGTCTGTCCACACCCAAGCTTCGCGTTGCGCTACGATGTCACCGCCACGACCTGCGGCACAGATGTGATCAGCCTTCCCGTTGCGACAACTGACCGCCCGAGCGAGCCGAAACCCAAGCACCAATATCCGCATCCCCAAGTGGAAACAAAAAACCGTGCCAGGATGTCCCTTGGGAGGACCGACAAAGGCACAATCGCCACCCGAGGTATTCGGACATCCGCGTCTGTGCCTTAATTGTCTGGAGCTGACTGCCAGGGGGGGCTGTCTTTGCGCAACGACGTTGCTCAATTTCGCTCCGCCTCCCCATCGCCGCGCACTACTGCAACTGCTTTCCTGCGAAGCCTGCGAGACATTCTCGACGCCGGTGCTGTTTCGTAGGCCGCGGAGGCGAGGAGCACGAGGGCTTTTTGCGGGGGGCCCCAGGTCTGGCCGACATCGTCGCGCTCCTCCAGGGCGCCGACCTCAGCATCTCCAGTTCGGGTCAGGTCGACCGAGGGTCCGGCTGGCACTCACACTTGCAGTCGCTGGGGCAATGACGCGCCCCGCGGAGGGGGGGGGGCATGCAGGGGGGAGGGCGACCATCCCAGAGGGCTCAGACGGCCTCCTGAGGCTTCCTGAGCCTCCTGCAACGACACGGGGGGCTTCTCAGAAGGCGCGCGGGCTTCTGGGGAGCCCCGCTGCCTTGTGAGAAGGCCTGCCACTTCCCATTCGCCTGCGGATGGGGGCCAGACTTCCGGGGGTCAGAGTCAGCGAAGGGCGAACTGAAGAGAACAACATTTCTGCGAAATGTATCGGCCCGGCCGCAGAGCTCCCAAAAGAACGGAACAACCACGGAAAAAAGGGATCGGAAAAGAGTACGGCCTCGAGCAGGGAGAACCCAAGAGTTGAGCTTACCTTTCCATGACCCTCAAAAGGCTGACCCCTACTAGCAGGCGCAGGACCTCGCTTCCCCCCCTCGGCGCGCCGCCGGGAGAGGCGCAGTCTGGGCCGCCCACGGCGCCGTCAAGACAGACATCCGCCGGAGCCAGCAGCGAGATCGAGGCCGACAGAGGCCCACGAGCCGAAGCGAACGAGGCGAGCGAAGCAGCCACCGACCGAACCAACCCGACCGAGCGCAGCCGACGGCAGCGCAGCCTCCGCGACCGAGCCGTGGGCTCTCCTGCGAGTCGAGCTGGAGCCCCGCCTAGCTGGAGCCCCCGCGGCTCCCGCCGCACCTCGCCTCGTGACGATCCCGAGGGCCGGTCGAGTCCCGCTTCTGTTTTTCCCCCTCCTTCTCCTCCTCCTCTTCCTCCTCCTCTTGCTCCTCCTCCTCCTCCTCCTCCTCCTCCTCCTCTACCACCACTCGCTTCCCCCCCTCGCTCGCCGCAGCTATCAGGGTCAGGGGCTCTTCTGCACTCGACGATTGGAGGCGCGACGGGGGGGAAGGAAGCGGCGGCGGGGGCCGAGCGAAGGCGGAGCGCGCGCTGCGGACCTGTCCAGCACACCTGGCCGCAGAGGAGGCCGAGTGCTGCACAGATGTCCGGCCACCTGTGCTTCCTGCTCTCGCGCAGGCCTGCCGCGCGCCATGTGCATCCTCCTGCCCGGCAAGCTCTGGGGACGATCTTCCCGATCCACCAAAAGGCTGATGTTGCTCCCATCGCTCCTGAGGACTGCATCCCAGAAAGAATCTCGAGCACCCAGACAAAGTATGGAATCAGTGTCGAACGTGTATCGCCTCCAAAGACCCGACACGTGAAATCCCTTCAATTTCGGTACTTTCTTGGTGCTCGAAATTCTTTCTGGTGATCAAGGCTAAAATAGGTTGGAACATCCTAACAACAAGTCTGGGAACGCATGCGGCCCTGCGCCTGCGGCTGGAGAGAGCCCCGCCAACCCCTCCTTAGGTCGGCCTGCGCCTTGTCCAGCTCGCGGAAGCGCGCGCGGCTCTCCTCCCAGTCGCGGCGTGGGCTCAAGTTCGTCCTCTGTCTCGTTCTCCTGCTCCTGATCCTCCGCCTCACCTCTCCCCTCCCCAGCAAACGCAAGGGCATACTGCTTACCAGGACGCTGGAAACACACATGCATGGACTCAGATTTCGAACATCTGAAGGCCGCGCCCTAGATAGACGCGTGGAGGGCCTGCGTGCCCCAGTCATAGAAGGAACGAGCGCTGGAAAGACATCTGGCCACATGTGAATCCTGCTCTCGCCCAGGCCCGCCGGATCATGTGTATCCAGCTTCCTGATATCACTAAGCGACGAATTAGGACGCGCACGTCCGAGCACAGCAAACAGCACAGTCATCTTACAGCGTACCGCTGTCCAAGCGATATGGCATGTACGCCCACCACCGAGCTTATACTGCAAGGTTTCTGAGCAGGGCGTCGCCCTGTGGGGCCGACGCACAAGTAGAATCAGCATGTTTGGATGACGCTGCGTTGCTTCGACGAGCGCGTTCCACTAGACGCAAAGTAACTACTCGCAAATGGCCTGGATTCCCCGCGGGGGATCTACGATACATTACATCAAAGCAGACATGTTTTTTTTCGGACGTTTGCGAGTAGGCACTCTGCGAGTAGTGGAACGCGCTCGGCGATTGCTGCTGATGCTGTTGTTGCTCCCTGTCCACCGCCAGCGGATCGGAGGAGAACGGCACGTCATGAGGGCAATCGCCTGGGCACCTTACTGGCAGAGCGGGCAGGGCAAAGGCATCGCAGAAATGGCCAGGTGTGTCAGCAGCCCGCTCAGGATGCCGGCGTCGTTTTGGTGCAATGCGCGTTGGTAACGAATTGTTCCCCGACGACATTCCCCTCGTCTGTCGAAGTCGATTGTAGCCACGCGATGTCATTGAGGTCGAAAGCCCTATGCGCTGTCCAAGATTGAATGCCCATGGTGCGGTGCAAACCGTGGAGAAACTCGCGGATATCGTCGTCCCGTGTCTGCCGCTGCCCTGCACGATGCCGTTGCCCATTCCTGGAGGCGTGGAGGCTCGAGTGCCAATGAGCAACACGTTGAGGCCATCCATGCAGCAACTGTTTCGCGACCCCGGATGGCCACCTCCATACAATATGTCGCTGCTTTGCCACCAAGCCGTGTAATGTGTGCCTGTGCGAAAGGGCCTCCGCTTGTCGTATTGACCGCTGGGTGTGATCCAGCTCCTCGTTCCCAAGCTGGTTGTCCATGCTGCCGGCTGTTCTGGCTGCGTCGCTGGCTTCATTTCTTCGGTGGGCGGTCGGTAGGTGGCTGTCTGAATCTTCTCCATCAGCGCTGCCTTCAACCCTTCGTAAAACCAAGGGATGGTATTGAGCACGCCTCTTGTGGGTCGGTCTCCCTGGACATTTCCCTGACGACGGGCGGTCCTTCGTCGTCGAGGGGTGCCAGCAACCAGGCGCAACATGCGCCGCTGTGTGGGTTGTAGATGTTGTCGTAGGGGCTCGGTCACTGTCCACGTACCTTCTCCATGGAGAGACTCTCTCTATGGAGAAGGTATGTGAATCAGAGCTGGATCAGAGTTCCGGGCCAGAGTTGAATCAGAGCTGGGTCAGAGTACTATTATAGTTTTTTCAGTTTAATGTTTGAAGCTAGTTTGCCTCCAAAACACACACTCCCAGAGAGAGGCGACGGGCAAGAGCGCCACTCAGAATTGCACCTCCTGAGCCACCGGCGGCGGGTAAGAGCGCACGACGTCTTCGAGCATGCGGGTCCGCCGCTTTTTGGGGGTCGCTGGGCACCCTTCGTGGATGCATTTTTTTTGGGGGGGGGGGATCGCTGAGTGGTCCCGTAGGGATGGCTGGTAAGACCCCATTCTTGAACGGCGCCTCGATCCGATGAGATGCTGCAGCAGATACCGACCTTCACCTGGGACACAATCTGCAGATCTCGCAAAGAACAGGGGACCTGAGAAACATGTAGTCAGGCACACTTTTCCGAGCCGACGCGGAGGTCCTGACGGCGTCCCGGAACTGTCCAGAGAACTCTGGGTGACACCTGCAGGGAGACTGGGTTCGGTCTCGTTGGCTGTGGAATTCATACACAACGTGCGATTGACAAAAGGTACGGTTCGCCCACAAACCCTCCTGAAACACTCCGGCAAAGACTGCTGCTGGCAGCCACCTGATGGTTCCAATCATCACCACCCCAGAGCTTCAGAAAATCAGCCGTGACCCTACTCGAGATTCGCAAGAGGCCGTGTGTAAGCTGAGCGACGGACGCGGCTCGCCTGTGCTGCGATGCGCTACTGTTGCCGACCTGCGAGCTCCCGCTCGCACACTTCCTGTGCCCGTCCTCCGTGGCCCTGCTGCATCCAGCGCTCTTCCCCCTCCTGCTGCGTATCCTCTGCGTTCTGGACTCCTCCCTCCTGCTGCCTTCCCCCACCCGCTCCTTCCGCTGCCGACCCCGTGCGCTCCCCTCCCGTCTCCACGACAGCCCGTGCCGGCGACGCCAACAGCCTTCACCCCCAAAAGCAAATTACTCGGGCGCATCGGCGGCAAGCCAGCGTGGATGCCTCGTGGTGCAGCCACAGACCTCCATGGAGGCCTCCCAAGTGGGGTCCGAGGAGAGGGGGTCTGAGGATCGCGTCGCATCGCCGATGCATCGGCGATGCGTCGGCGGCGCTGGCGATGCATTGGCGCCGTCGGCTTGAAGAAAACCGGCTCCACATCGGTTTGCATCACCGATACATCAGCGATGCTGCGCGATCCTCCGGCCCCATCCACTCGGACCCCAGCTGGGAGGCCTGCGCAAGGACGACTGCCCGTCACTGCCATGTCACCCTCCCCTTGCCGTGCGCGGGCGCCGGCCTTCACACCTACGACCGTTGATGGGCCCGTTTTCCACCACCGTTGCAAGAGGCAGGAGAGGGAAAAGGAGAAGGAAGGGGAGGAGGACAGGAGGACCTCCCCATCCACCCTTTTTCCCCCGTCCCTACACATGGTAGTGGTGGTGGAAAACTGGCCCATCAACTGGCCGTTGTCAGAGCAGCCGAGCCTGGGCCTCAGACGAGCCATCTGGCGGGAGGGCAGCAGGACGACTGCGTACCGGAAGCCAGGATGTCGGCCCTGGCTCTTCAGCGGGAAGGGTCGACCGCCTGCCTCTCCTCCCCCTCGGGTCTGCTCGGGAAGATCGGCAGCCTTAGGTCGGGCATGTCCCCCTGCAAGCGGATTATGGATGAAAATTGAAAGCTACACCACACGATGTTTTGACTATTCTTGAATGTTTCTCCTGTAGAGGGACACGCCCGGTTTAATTGTACTCCCCTCGAGCCATCCCGCGGGTTTTCTTTGGGGGCCGCGTCGAGCGGTGCTCGAGGCCACCCAACGCGCCCATCCTGGAAGCGAGCCGCGTCGAGCCGCGCTCGAGGCTTCCTTCCAATTGCGCCCATCCTGGGAAGCCGACATCGGCGCCATCTGGGGCCATGCCGCCTGCAGCCGCGGCGGACCCTCCGTGACGCCTCTCCTGTGACATCAGCCCACATCGAGTCGGGCAAGTGGGCCAAGTCTTAGGTCGGGCGTGTCCCCCTAAAGGGGATTCTGGATGGAACATAAACGATACCCACAAAATGCTCAAACACAGCATGTATATGTATATATATATATATATAAAAATACCTATACATATATATATATATATATACACATATATAACATCCTCGGACTACTCTTGACTATTTTTGAGTGCTCCTCCTGTAGAGGGACACGCCCGACTGAAGCCAAATTGGAAGGTGCGCCGGATCAAGCTGCATCGGTACGGAGTCAGAATCGAACCGGATCGGCCGCGCCAACACGCACAGGCTGTCCGAAATCGGTGTCGAACGGGACCGGATCAGGTCGAAATGGGGCAGCACCACGCGGACCTCTGCACCAGAACTGCGGGCCCACGCCCCAGCCATGACCAGGAGGAGAAGGAGGAGGAGGGGGAGGAGGAGGAGGAGGAGGAGGAGGAGGAGGAGGAGGAGGAGGAGGAGGAGGAGAAGGAGGAGGAGGAGGAGGAGGAGGAGGAGGAGGAGGAGGATCCACGAGGCTTAGACGAATCGGTGCCGACTCGCCCGCCGCGGGGGGCCTAGTCTCCACCTGAGGAGCCAGACCCCCCCCCCCCGACCCTGAACTGGATGCAGTCGACGGCTTTCCACGGGGGTCCGCCCCGCGGGCAAGGTCCCCGACCGTGAGGTACACTTCGCACTGCGGGCCGTCGGGCTCAAGGATGCCGACGAGCACCGTGATGCCCGCGGGGGGGGGGGGAAGGGGCGAGGGACCTGCGCACGTAGTGGCGAAGCCCCGAACCCCCCCCCCCCGCCGCTGCTCCTCCCGCGGCCGCCCACACGGGGCACTGGGCCGCCAGCGCCACGTGGACCAGCACGCGCTCGACGGCCATCGCCCGCTCCGCTGCCCCCGCCGCGCGTGCCGTCGGACACGGCCGCAAGCTCCTCGAGCTCGGCGGCCATTGCGACCAGCACGCCGTGGTCGAAAGGCACCTCGGATGCGGGTCGGGGCAAACCCGCGCACTCCCGCAGGCGGATGACGAGCTTTCTCAGCTGCCACACCTCGAGGTGGTCATGCTTGTTCTTGTCGCCGAGCTCGCCGCCCTTGCCCGTGCCCTTGCCTTTTACTTCCGCGCGAGCCTGTGCTGGCAGGCGGGCCTCGAGGCTGCCTCACCACGGGCAGGTCGTCAACCCAGACGTCATCCTCCAGCATCGACTGGACGTCGGCCGCCGCCTCCGCCGCAGCCGCCGCGCCATCCGACCCCACCACCGTGCCCATCTCCGTCAGCATCAGGGCGTCGGGCTGCTCCTGCGCCACGCCTGCTCCCGCTCCGCCGCGGCCGTGCGGTCGGCGGCGCCTCCGAGTCGCCTCCGCGGAGGCCGTCGCGCCCGCAGGCGACGGAGCGCCAGGCGGCACGTGCAGCTCTGCCACTGCTGTGCGAAGGAGGCCCTCGGTCGCGCGGAGAAACCGCGCGGCGGAACGCCGCCCATCGGCGACGGCCAGGCCCGCGGCCGCGTGCGCCGCCATGAGCGCCCCGCGGGCGGCCTCCAGCGGCGCCGCAGCGCGTGCTCCAGTCTTCTGCGTACCTGGCATCGGGGCGAGCGGCGGCGGGGCCTCCGGGCGCGTCGAGCTTGAGCCGAAACAGTACTAAGAGGAGGAGGAGGAGGAGGAGGAGGAGG